CCCCAAAACCCCAAAACCCCAAAACCCCTCTCTGCAAAAATATAATTGAATTATAGCCATAAATATGTTCGCGAAGGGTTCACTACTAAGGGTCATGAGGTAAGTGTCCAAGGGAGTAAAGGGAATTTTTATTTAATCCAGTCTAAACAACTATAGGCCTGTTGGATTGCCTTTATACAGGCTAAGGAGATTGCCTTATCAGTACTCCAGATCTTTCTTCTGATCTAAAACCTCTGAGTTTTATGAATTTGACAAATTTGATATAATTCCTAAGTACCAATACACTGAAAAGGACATAGCTCCTGAAGGAGAAGAGGACATACTTCAGGACCTCCAGCGTCAGAAATTACCTCTGTACCAATGAATTGTAGTAGAAATTGTCAATTATTTGAAAAAGGATGAGTTCTTTTCAGAATTTGCTCCATTTGTGAATGATAATGACATTTTCATTAAACTTCTCTGCTTGCATATCTCAATGGTGACCAACTCGCTTATTTATGGAAGTTTAGACCCAGAGAGTGATATTAAAGGTCTGGCAAAGCTGAAGCTACATTATGAGTTAAGAAAAGGGACTTTCATAATGAACTCCTGCCGATATCCACAACCATTCATGAGTTATCTCTATGACCAGTTCCACAGCCATCTACCTGAGGAGTTGTTCTACGACGATTTTGTTGATTTCATGAAGAGTAGGTACAAGCCTATCAACACCTTCGTTCAAGCTTGAACACAGAAGAAGTTTCCTGATGAGAAGATTTCGAGAGGGCTGTGAAAAATTATTGATTCTGAGTTGTTCCAAGAAGACCATCCCTTGATTGGGAAGTTGACTCTCTACACTCAGGCTCATTTCCAGTACCTCCAGAGTCTGTCCATTAATGACATCATCTTCCACAAGATCTACTGGGGATTAAAGAAGGTTTATAAACTCGATATTTCCAGTGGTGAAGAAGAGGGCTAAATTTCAATCTTAATTTCAGAATGGGGTTTTGGGGTTTTGGGGTTTTGGGGTTTTGGGG